AGGCCAACAGGTTAAATCTGTGTTCTACTGAGTGAGCGTAGAGGCCAGGTCCGTCTGTCTCAAGAACTAGGGTTCCTCCTCCCGGAGCTATGCTGCCTCTTGGATATGGTTGGAGTAACCAGCAGTAACATAGCAGGAGCTGTAGTTTTTTTATTGTTAGTTTTTGCTTGTTCCAAGCACTTTCATGGATAGTGACTCCCTTGGCCCCAACTTCCATAAAATGATATCCTTTCTATAGGCCATGAGATTGCAGCTGAGCTAAGGGGCGTTTCCCCAAGATCCTTGATCTAAATGTTGGAGCTGGGACCAGAGCCTAGATCTTTCAGCCTGGGACACTCGTTGAGTCTGGTAGTATGTTTGTGGGCTGACTTGATGTCTTCGTTCTTTCTGTAAACCAGGCTGAGTGTCTGGGCAGGGGTGGGGCGTGCACTCAAGAAAAAAAGGACACTGGGAGTGGGGGTGAGACTGGTTCCAGCCCAGGGTCCTCCCCTGCGGCCAGAGTGTTAATGACTCTTACTGCTGCTCCCATCGCTGAAACCCCAGGTGCTTTTCTATGCCGGAAAATTTATATCTTGTGGTTTTGTGGTTAAGAGAAAATGACAGTACCCATGAAAGGTCCCCTTGTAGGCCCCTGGGGCTGGGCTGGCAGGCCCCACTGTGGTTTCTCTGGGAAAGTAGCCTCTGGGTGCTTCTGTGACTGCAACCGGCTTTCCGAAAACTGAGAGCAACCTCCTGCTCGATGGGAGCTGCTGCGCGCCAGGCACCTCCATCCTTTGTGACTGAGAACAGCTTTGCTCCCTCAGCAGAACCCAAACCTACAGGGGTCGTGTCTTCTTTACGAGCTCCGGGAGATCGCAGCTGCTGGGACACGGGACTTGCTGACAAAGGCCACAAGGCACTGTGTTGTCTTGTTTTCTTTGTCCCAGCTTATGGGGTGTTAAAAGGGGGCAGTGTGACATCACTTCAGGTTCTCACAGTCCTACCACGGGCCTCCTTGGGGCTGTCTAGCGGGGACCTCTGACAGCCTTTAAAAACAGAAATCACTCACTTCCCTCCTGGGGAACTTGCCCTAGTTTTCGAGACTCTCAGCCTCCGAGTCAGCACTTGCCCGAGTGGCATTTGTTTTCCAGTGTCATTTTGGTAAATGTGTGTGCCTATCAGGGCTATCAAATGTATTGTGCGTTTATCTGGCCATTCATTCAACAAAGGTTTTACAATAGCAAACCATGTGCCAGGTGCTGTGCTGGTTTCTGGGGATCTGGTGGTGACCTGGGGAGTTTACAGTCTAAAGAAGGAAGCAGACAAGTGAAATATTAGACCTGTGATGTGTGATCTGATGGAGGAGAAGGGCAGCGGCTAAGGAGCAGGGCCGACGGGGTTGGGGTGGGCTTCCTGGAGGAATGGATGTCTAAGCTGAGCTGTGGAGGCTGAGGGGTGACTGAGAAGAGCCTTCCTGGCAGAGGCCGTTGAGGCTGAAAAGGGCTGAGGACATTGGAGGGCTCTGAAGCAGAGAAATCCCCAATGCTGACTCGCTGCTGAGGCTGGGTTGGCCAATCTCGATGTTGACCTGGGATGGCCAAAGTCCTTTGCAGAATGGATGTGTTATTAATCAGCTCCCAGAGGTCTGGCCCTGGAAATTCTCATGCCAGTGACGGACGGCCTTCTTTGCTGCTGATGTTCATGCCAGCAGCCCAGCCTCTTTGGTTAACGTAGAAAAGAATGGCTTTGATTTCGCTGTTATTTGGTTTATTGTCCTGTCTTTGGCCAGCGCTTTGGAGCTGTGGTTCGAGAGCAGTTTGGAGTGGAGAGAAGGACGGCCTGTGAGAAACATCTTAACATGAGCATAAGGCCCATGTGTTTCCTTCCCCTCTTCCTTCCTCGGGCATTTTTAAGCACGATACGTGTCAGGTGCAGTAATAGGCATGTGGGACTGTCATGAGTGAGGCGGACGCGGTCCCTGCCCTGATGTATAATAATAGGGAGGCAAACCTAGTCTTTTGAAAGGTTTCCATTTGATAGTTCAGTTCTCCCACAGCCTGTGAGCTAGATATCATCATTCCTGTTCTAGAGATGAGAGAACCAAGACTCGGAAAAGTTAGCGAACTTCCCCGAGGTCACGCAGCTGGTAAATGGCAGAACCTAGATTTGAACCCAGATTCTGCTCAACTTCACAGCCTGTGCTATGTCTGCTGCTCCGGGAGCTCACATCTGTTGGGAGAGACCGGGTCGGAAGCTCGAATATGAGCCCCGCTGTGATAGGGGCTCCCACAGAGGTGTAGACGGCACACCGAGGAGGGGGTACGGGGAATTCAAATTAGGCCTGGGAGTTCTCGCCCAGGCCAAGGTGCTGTGGCTGGAGTAGAGAAGAGATCATTTGAGCAGAGGCCCAGCGGGTAGGAAAGGACAGGAAGCATTTGAGAAATAGCTCCTAGGTGAGTGTCTGCCTGGAGCACCGGGTTGGGCCACGGGTAGGGGGCGTGGAGATGAGCCTGGAGAAGAAGGTCAGGGCCCTGATTTTGGAACTGGCCTCTGGTCACACTAGGAGGGATGGATCAGAGTGGAGTAAGCTTGGATGAGGAACATGAGCACCTCTACTGAGCCCCATAGGATAAAAGCAGCACTCATGTCTTCACGTTTGTTGGCTTCAGCCTGTGCCGATGTTCCCAGGGCTTAGGCTCCAGAATAGGACAGCAACTACACTTCCTGAGTTGCCAGCCTCAGCAGAAAGTGATTAGCAATGTCTGCTCAAAGTTTGATTAGCAATGTCTGTTCTGGGTCCCCGAGGACGTGTGGTGCAGGAATGCCATGGGTTTGCCTCTGTCTGGGTTTCACCAAACGTAAAAACTATACAACTGAGTGGAAGTATCTTGATTCTGACTCAGTGTTTCCTCTCTAGCAGTTGTCCCTGTTTGCCACCGAGCCCCTTGAAGATAGTAAGACTTAACAGAGTTTGGGGCCACATGAGAGGGCCAGCACCCCTGGGATTAGGAGATTGTGAGCCTGGGACCAAACGAATTTCTGGGGGAAATTTCAGAAAGGCTGATGTAGAAGCAATGGTTTTGTTGTTATTATGGGTTTCATTTCACGCCTCATATCCCCTCTAGTCACAGGGGTTCTTTACCTGGGATCTGTGGATAGAATTCGGGGGGGGGCGGTCTATGAATTTGGATCTGGAAAAAAATTGTACCTTTATTTTCATTAACCCTAATTGAAATTTAGCATGTTCTTCAATTTGGATGTGGGCAACAAGTCACGGTCATCTTAGCAAATAATTTGTGTGACTCAATCACCAGTAGAAATGACAGCTGTCTTCCTATCATGTTACAGTTGTGGAGTTATCTGAAAAAGCAGCTCATACTTGTCACACCTGCATGGTTGTGACAGTTATGTGACCCACTGCTAGATATTATTTAATGCTTTACTCAAGAAGCTTTTAGTACTCTCACAATTCTAAGTAATATTTCGATAAATGGATTTAAATGTAATTAACTTCCTTGGTAATCCTAAGTGTTTTGTTTTATGCATTGAAGAGCATTATTTTTAGGAAAAGGATCCTGGGCCTCCCCAGTCTGCTGAAGGGGTCCATGGTCCAGAAAAGGTTAAGAGCACCTGTTCTAATTGGAAACTGGGAACCTTTCTAGATATTTGAAATTTTAAATTATTAATTGCTGTTAATTTTTGGTATTGTGACAGTGCTAACAAAAAGAGTCTACACTCTTTAGAGAAATATACTGAGGCATTTACAGATGAAAGAAAAAGGAATGAATTAATAACAACAATAAAACCCCCAGGGTTGGGGGGTGGCAGCAGGACTAGGAAGTGGCTCCAAGTGGCCAGCTCCTGTATAAGGCTGTGAAGGTGGTGCTTGCCTCTTAAGGAAACTTGAAAGTCCCCAATATGAGGCCACTAGAGTCCTGTCAGCATCTCAGCAATGCTCACGGGGTCCCTGGGTCACTTGATCTCAGCCGAGCCAGGGGGCTCCCTAGTCCTCTTCGGGTTGCGTGCTCGTGCTCGTTTCCACCCGTTTGAGTCCACCTCCCCTTCTTTTTCTCAGCCCTTTGCTGTGCCCTCCCCACCGTCTTCCCTGCTCTGCATTCCTCAGTGCAGTGCAGGGCACCTGGTCGGAGCCCAGGGTTTGTCAGAACGCCAGGGTGACCTGAGCCAGGCTGTCCTTGTTTAAACTTATTTTATTTGAAGTTTCAGGTTTTTGAGAGTCTGCTGAAAGCTGGGGACACTCTGCCCCCCAAAAACTCACAGACTCACATGTCTGAAGTTTGCGTACACTTCAGGGTGTGGGTCCCTGGATGCCTGTTGGCAGGCTCGAGTCAGGGACCCTTGCCAATAATGCCACCGCCCAGCAGGCACGACTGGCACTCAGAGCGCTTGCTGTGTGCCAGGCGCGCACTGAGTCCTGCATTTCTTCCCAACCTCCCTGAGATGGAGGCTCTGTTATTATTCCAATTTTGTAGAGGAGGAAACTGAGGCTTTTGTGGGGGTAGGGGGTTGAGTAGCTTGTCCAGGGTCACAGGGCTAGGATGTGCCTGAGCCCCCAGACCCCAGCCCAGCCAGTCTGATTCTAGGCTGGAAGAATCCAGGTGGAGGGTTACTCATCCTCTCCAAACCCCCACATCTTCCATATCATCAATTACTGACTCGCCCAGCCTCCCCTGACCCCCAAACCCTAGGCGGGAGGCCCTTCTTATGTTTAACCCAGTTCGGTGTTCTGACCAGTCTCGCCTGTTACTCTCTGAGGATCGTGGTCCCAAGGGGAGGTAGTGTCAGCCAGCCTTGGGTTGGCTCTCCCAGACCCTTCTCCTCTCCTCCTCCCTCCCCCAGGTCCTGCTTTACTGCTGTTTGAATGGTAGCAAATGGGAATCGGGCAGCTCCTGTCCTTATCGCGCTGCTCTCGTGTTTGCCAGAGCTCCCCTGTAGCGTGCTCGGGTCCGCCATGTGCATGTGCCACGAATGAACTGGCCTTTTCTTTCCTGGGCTCCCTGCAGGCGAAGCTGGTCCGGTACATTTGCAAGCAGCGGCAGTGCAAGCTGAGCGTGGCTCCTGGCGAGAGGACCTCGGAGCTCAACAGCTACCCTCGCTTCAGTGACTGGCTTTATACCTTCAACGTGAGGCCGGAGGTGGTGCAGGTAAGTGGGCTGTGGGGAGCTCAAGTTGGGCGTGGGTGTGTGGGGGGGTCAAGCAAAGGGACCACACACAAACCTGAGGGCTGGTTCCACTGTGGCTAGGACTGAGGGACGATGCTGTCTACTCTCAGGAAGGGGACAGCAGCAGCAGGAGGGACCCAGGGTAAATGTGGCTTCAGCACGTGCCTGGGTGCCATTGCTTTATGAGCCAGACAGCCTGACCACCCCATTCATTCATTGGTTCACCATAATGACAGCAGCCAAGATTTCTGGAAGCATTGGCGTGCAGCAGACACTATTTAAAACACTTTGTTTAGATAATCTCACTTAATTCTCAAAAAACCCTGTGGAATTACTACCATGATTGCTGCTTTATACTTGAGGAAATTAAAGCTCAGAATGGTTCAGTAACTTGTTTAGAATCGTACAGCTAGTAAGTGGTAGCTTTGGGATTTGGAAGCAAAGAGACCGAATTGAGTTTTCCCTTGTAACTGCTACAGTATACTGTTTTCCCTCCTTTGTTTCCTATTCCCATCCATCCAACCTACCCACCAACTAACCAACCAACTAGCCAAGCAGTGTGCATGGAGAGTGTACCCTCTGCCAGGTGTCAGGGGTACAGGACAGTGCTTGTGAGGCATAAATAAGTCAGTGCCTGGCAGGTGCAGCTCAGCCAGTCAGCTCTTTTAAGTGTCTTGCTTCTCTTCCACAATTAAAAAGGGTGACTCTTGCTATTGTTTTAAAAGCAATATGAATTCATTATATATAGAACTTTGGAGAACAGAAAGAGGAGCGAAAATTCACATATGTATTCCCACTCAGAGAAAAATCTCAGATCATTCAGATTTTGATATTTCCTTGTGGTCTTTTTTTCCCTAATACTTAAATGTTTTAAAATTTTCTAATAGGTTAGACTGTGCTGTCTAGTAAGGTGGTCCCTGGCCAACGTGGCTATTTTGTATTTGGAGCATGGAAGTCCACATTGAGATGTGCTCCAATTTCGAAGACATAAATTCAAAGAAGAGCTGAATTCAGAGGACTTGGTACAGAAAAAACAAAGTGAAATATTAGTAACTTTTTATATTTGGTATATATTGAAATGACACTATTTTGGATATATTAGGCTAAATGTTATTTGAATTAATTTCGCATATATTTAAAATGTGGCTATTCAAAAAGTAAAACTTAAGTATGTGGCTTGCATTAGGTTTTTCTTAGGCAACACTGGTTTAAACCGTCCTGAATAAACAGTTTTTTAGTTGGACTCTTATCGTTTGATCTGCTGCCTAACACTTTTTCCCTGTATTTTCATTCTTAGTAACCCCCCGTTTTGTTTTTAAGCGGCTGCATGACGTTTGAGTATATGTGATGTAGCTAACCAGGCAGAGGTTAGGTCGTTGGCTATTAAACATAACATAGTGGTTAATATTTTTTATGAAGCTATTGGTATATTTAGGAATGTTGCCTAGGAGAGATTCCTGGAAGGGAAGTGACGTGAACATAAAAGGCTCCTGTCATGGGGGAGGGGGTGAGAGGAGGTAGGGGTGAGTGGGGGCTCCCCAGTGAGCCTCTCAGCCCTTTACGTGCTCCGGGCCCTGGCCCCAGTGGCCCTCGTATTTGTGGCGTACACCAGCTTTTAAGAAGCTGGCAGAAAGGAGGTGGCCGATGTGAAGGTTGAAACTGCTTTGTGAGATGGAAGTTCTTTGAGCGTTATTAGCAGTTATGTGCACATACGCACGTCTTATGTATAATACGCTGCATCTCTCCATCCATCTCCCCACCCACCCACCCACCTACCTGCCTGACAGTCTTCTGCCATTCAGGAAGGAGATCGGAACACATACCACTGAATCCCTGGTATCAGATTTCAAATCATGGCCGTGGAGACTGTGGAGAATTGGTTGGTCCCTTGAGCCCCCCAGGCCAACCCCAGTCTTTTCCCCTCCTGGCCCTGAGATCTCAGAGATGCAAAGCAGCTTCTCTTACAGTTGAGGACACTGAGGCCCCACAAGGGCAGTGACTTGCCCAACGTTGTGCCTCCTTGACAGATGAGGACCACCAGGTTCCGAGAGGGGTCTCTGAGGGTCCCAGAGCTAGTAATGGGGACAGACTTGAGGTTCAGACCCATGCCTGCCAAACTCCAAACTGTGCCTTTGGACTCCCTTTCTTGGGCCTAAAACATCTTTGGCAGATGGCTTAGCTCCTTGAGAGATTTCCCTGGGATCTCCAGAGGTCTGAAGAGTGCAGGAGACTCAGCTCCATCCATCTCTCTTTGAGAGAGGAGCCGGGTGTGCCCAGGGCACAAGCCGGTACCATGGGGGCTGGCTGCAGGTGCTGCTTGGCCCCTGGAGAGCCCTGTGGTGGCAGCCGGGACAGAGGTCTTCCAGCCGGGCCCAGAAGCACAGCGGATAGAGTCAGGTGACATTTGTATCCTGAAGTTGTGAGTGATATGTCAGACCTGGGTGCTAAATGAGGGGCAGGCTCACCTGTAGGCAGGGGTCGGGCAGGCAGGAGAGCCCGAAGGCCAGATGTGGTTTGGGAACCAGGATGCTATGTGGCCTGGAGGACTGGGGCAGAGTCTGAGCAGAGAGCCATGTGGGAATGGAGGGTCAGGGTGAGACAGCAGGAGCTTCTTCAGCTGCCCAGTGGCCTCGACAGTGACCTGGAGATCGTGAGGCGGCTCAGAAGTGAACACGTTTCAAGCAGAGCTCTTGTTTTTCCCCTTCCATATACACGGACACGTTTTCTTCCCGGCCCATCTTCCTATCTCTGGACAGGGTAGCATTCTCCACCCAGTTGCTCAAGCCACAACCCCAGAGGCCATCCCTGATTCCTCCCTTGTCCTGACTCATGTGCAGTCCCTTATTCAGCCCTGTGGGCTCTGCCCCAGGACCTACTGCAGACCTGGCCACCTCTCTCCATGCCCACCACCAGCACTGCAGGGCAGCCCACCTTCCTCTCTTGCCCAAAACCCTGCAGCAGCCCCTTAACTGTCCCCCTACTTTATCGTTTACCCACTTCATTCTGTTTTGCACACAGCAGTCAGAGAACCCACTAAGAAACATAAATTGGATCACGTCCAGTGCTTCCCATTTCTTTCCAAACAAATGCCAGGTGCCTCACAGGCTTTGGCCTCCCCTGCCTCTCTCTGACCTCATCTCGCTCACTCTCCCCTTTGCTCTCTCTGGTCCCACCTTAGCACTTGCTCTTCCCCTTCCTGTAGTGCGTTTCCTTGGCTCATCCCGTGGACATCATTCTAGTGTCACGTCCATTGCCACCTCCTCCGAGCAGTCTTCCCTGATGATCTGATCTGAAGCTCACGCCCACCCTTTGTTCTCTAACAGTGCACCTTGGCTGATTTTTCTCAATGACACTGGTCGCTTTCTGGAGTTAGTCTAACTTATTTGTTGTGTGTGGTCTGTCTACTCTCCCACTGGAATAGAGGCTCCATGAGATAGGGACCTACCTGCTCTGGGTCGTTTGCCATAAAACCCCTGCTGAGTACTGGGCCTGATATGACCATCACTTGTTTGAGGAGGGGAAGAGTGAATCTCGTCATGACATGGTAGATGTCCCTAGGAGTCAAGGGTTGGTCCCGAGTGGGTGGTGACACAAGTTACTCCAAGGCCTGGCTTTTCAAGTCCTACAAGAGAGGCCACTGTTGGGACCGTAGCCCCAAATATCCTCCTTCCCAGGTGGCTATGCCCAGCTGCCCATGAGTCACCCTCTGGAAAGAGCTTGGGGAGAGTTGTAGTGCCCCCAGGGGAGAGGGCTTCTTCAGGAAGGCTGGGACGGGCCAGTGCCATGAGGAGTCCTTGGGCCTCTTTGGCAGCCCCCCTTCTGACCAGATTGACACCTCTTCATTCATTGTGTCATGCTTCCAGTGGCCTGACCAGCCCTCTCGGGGAGGCCTCTGTAGTCTGGTTACTGGGCTGCACCTTGACCGCTGTGGGCTCCTGGGGCCCCTCAGAGCGTCCTGCTCATTTTGCCTCAAAGCTGACATACAGAGAGCACATCCAGTGTGTAGTGCCACATACTCTACATGCATTGTTCCATCCAGTTGTCCCAACACCCTATGGAGCAGGCGTCATTTCACAGTTGAGGATCTGGGGCCCAGTGGGGTGCACTGACCCGCCCAGGATCCCAGAGCCGTGAGGAGCAGAGCCAGGCGTCCCTTCAGACCTGACTCTCAGTCCTCGCTCTCAGCCGCTTCTCTCTCCTTCCTCTGGGGAACACCTGAGTTCTTGGCCTTGCTCTGGGAACCAGGCCAAAGCTTTTCACCTCTCTAAGCCTCAGTTTCCCGCTCTGTAAAATGGGGAATAACCCACGTGCTGCTTGCTCACAGAGGCGGTTAGGGTCAAGCACCTGGAGGCACTGTGGTGTTCCCTGGGGTGGAGGAGGGAAAATTCAGGCAACTTCCTCGCCTCTCATCCTCAGCTGCTGTTATTCTTGAGTGAGAGGGAGCCAAACCCAACAGACACCGCTGGAGGCTTGCACACCGGGAGTGAAAGGAAGGGGTGTGAACAGGGGCTGGCCGGAGGTGGTTTTCTGAATCCAAAGGCAGTGGGAGTCAGCCAGGGCTTGAGACAGACAGAAGGTTGCACATTGGACCAACTGGAGCTGGGCCAGTGTCCGCCTCCCATCCCCCTGTTGGTCCCAAGGGCCACACACGGGCGTCCTCACCATCCTCACCAGCAGAGCACATGAAATGAGGCTGGAGGGGGTCGGGCGCTGGAGGAGGGTGGGCCCTGCTGCCTCGGGGTGCCTGGGGAGCAGGCTGGCAGCTTTCTGCCTGGGTTTTAAGAACCACAAGGAACATTGGCTAGGTGTCACTCCATCTTTCCCAAAAAAACTCTCCAGACCCTTTTTCTCTAGATTGCTTGGTTCCCCCTAAATCTCGCGTTGGTTCTTAGGCCCCAGCCAGAGTACTCTGAAGCCTGGAAAGAAGGGCTGCTTCTCCCAGTAATCCCAGCCCCGGCTGACCGGGGAGTGGGAAGGGGGCT